TATCATACTTATGTTTCGATGAATTGATGTGCTCTTCCCTCCATTTCGTAGTCAACGGTATCCTGTTTTAGAGCTTCATGTGCCAGAACAACCATTGGAAGCTCTGAACTGGTACTTTGTACTTCCGGTCATTCCAAAGGCATTGAATTCATATATCCAACATTGTTCAGCACAGAATATACATAATGAGATCTTTCGAAACTTGAAATGAGCCAAGATGATACATATCTCGACTTTCAAACCATCGAGGTAACTGATAAATTTGTATTGTTAGCCACAAGCCATAGTCGTAGCACAATTTTATCTAACAGAGCCAATGAAAGTGTTCATAATATAATTGATTCAGGATTTGATAAACTTTTGTGTGATTGACGGATGACTCCTTTCCAAGGCAATCCGTAAATGACTAGGGTGCCAATCCTTGACAACTCTAAATGATTGAATGAATGGATTGTAGTTATCTTGCAAGGCATTCGATTTTTCAGGAAATTTGTGCAAATCATGAGGTGAACCAAGCCTCGAACAATTACTCCCCGTCAGAAAGATCTATAAAAACTAGAGACGTAATAGCACTGTTTCCGCTCAGAATTTACAGAGTTTATTACAAGTAAGCAGTAGGGAAATTCTGAGGTTGACCGCATCATCTTAGAACCGATGTGATTGAATGCTCTTGGTAAGTAAGCAAGAGTCGAGCCACTAGTTATGGAGTTACTAAGAAAGCTGTGTATCAAATTGTATATATGGGAACGTTAGGACTACCCGATTTATGCACGTTGTCTCTATATTATTTATTCTGCGTTTAGTTTTACTATTTGTGTGTCCTTCAATGTGTAGAAATATTTCGTATGAAATGAGATGCGAAATTTTCGTAAAAAAATTGCGAACTTTGGAATTTTTTATGTATCACATCTACATCCACCTGCCTCGGGTTGCATGACAATCAGAATTCCTCTTGGCAAAATCTACCGATTGATGGCTTGTTTCTTAATTCTTGCAAACTCGTATAAATTAGAATATTCTGCTACCAAGCCCGGGCATTAAAATCAGGTCTTTCTATTGGGCATCAACAGAGATCTACTCGATTTGGTCATACAAGCCTCAGATTCAAGAACACACAACCATCTATTGTTGCGAATTTTGTCGGTCCGACCTAAACCGTTTCTAAGGAAACCTAAAATGGAAATGCATCTGTCAACCTTGTCACCCCCATGTTTTAATTTTAAATTAAGGGAATTGTTGAGACTGACGTGTCCCACGTTTTTCACAATACGAAATAATTTATTTTTTAAGTTATGCTTGGGACGGGTGAAAAAATAATTTTGCAACAATAATTCTTCTAATAATTAGATCAAACTAGTCACTAGCCACAATGCACATAACAAGAACGTTGAAAACAATACGCAAAACATAAACATCAATTTGAAATACACACGAGGGCCTGTCGCAATAAGCTTGAATTGTCAGATCTCGTCTTGAACGCTGTTCCGAGAACTATAAATACTCCTCAAGTTATCTACATTTTCAATTTTCATATTATATCAACAACAACAACAAGCAACAATGCAATTCCTTTCTTCTGTCGCTACATTACTTTTAGCATCCACTGCTTTCGCTAAGACTATCCTTTTAACCAACGATGATGGTTGGGCTTCTACCAACATCAGAGCTACTTACATCCAGTTGAAAGAAGATGGTCACGATGTTTACTTGGTTGCTCCAGTCTCCCAAAGATCTGGTTTCGGTGGTACCTTCGATCTCCCAGAAACCCCAACTTTAGAAACCAATGGTGGCTTCAACTACCCTGCTGCTGGTGCTCCATCTTGGGGTCACGAAGTTGATGATGACCACATCTGGTACTTCAATGGTACCCCAGCTTCTTGTGTTGCTTTCGGTGCTTCTTACCTTTTACCAACCTACTTCAAAAACAATAACCAGATCGATTTAGTCGTTTCTGGCCCAAATGAAGGTCAAAACGTATCCCCAGGTTTATTCACTATTTCTGGTACCATTGGAGCAACTTACAACGCTGTTTACAGAGATATTCCAGCCGTTGCTTTCTCTGGTGCCAACACCAACAACTCCTTCTTCAAGGATGACTTAGACATGTCTGATAAATTAGAACCATCTACTATCTATGCTGAAAAGGTTGTTGAATTCGTTAACGCTCTTTTCGCAGGCGAAGGTCACAACACTCGTGCTTTACCATTAGGTGTTGGTCTTAACGTTAACTTCCCAGCTGTCGGTTACCAAAACGAAACCTGTACCAATCCAAGTTGGGTTCAAACTAGATTGAGTGGTAAAGATTCTGTTACTCTTGATGTTATTTACAATGCTTCTTCAAACCTTTTCACTTTCTCTGAAAGATCTGGTCAAGGTATGCTTGAATGTCAAAATGGTGACTGTAAGCTACCATCTGAAGCTTTTGTTGTTACTAACGAGTGTGCAAGTACTGTTTCCGTCTACAGTATCGATTACGATGCTAACACCAAATTAACCAAAGAAGTTCAAAACTCTTTATCTGCCTTATACAAGAAAAAGTAACGATATGAGCTTTTCATTTTGCCATCAATACCTGCTTTTTGATAGCAAACCTTCTTTCTCGTTTTATAAATTTCATTATATATATATATGTAGTACCGATTAATAGACTAACAAGCTTTAAAATCAATTCATTGTAGAAGGTTTGAATTTAATAGATTACGTTATATTAGATTATCATTTCAAAGAGCTTTAATTTTCCAATAGAAAGATCGGTCAAAGAGATAAGCTATTAGACATAAAGTCATGAAATATTTGCCCCAAATATTTATCTATCCAGATCAAAATACTCATCACAGATTGGACGGTCGAATATGNATTATTCACCCCATAAGAGTTTGCATAAGCTCAGCGTGAATTGGGAATGTGACCAATAAATGAAAGTCGGTCTAAAATTTCGCTGTATAATAGTATCTGGTTTATTGATGTAACATGTGGGTAGTGTCTCTATACAGGGGAGAAGCAGCAAAATCTTAATTGGCTAACTTTTAGATATAATTACCAAATCTAAATTCGCTTGTATGGAAATGTCAAATCGGTTGCAAACGACAATTTCCCTGAGGGGCAAGTACGGATATGAACTGTTATTGCAAGGTGGAGCCCAAATGCGGAAATCGCTAGGTTTAAACAAAGAAGACCACATGTGGGTTCGTAGGGTTGGATGTAAGAATAAAACGGTTATGCAAGAATTGGCGAAGAGAGAAGAATAGATCAAGTGGATTTCAAGATTTGCGCTTTTTGTAACCCTGATCCCACGTTTGTTCGTGTGAGTACAAAATAAAAAATATTTTGCTGGATAAGACCTTTTCCGTCCGTACCAACAACGTCTCAGATACACAGTCTATAGTGGTCACGTCGTAATCAACACCTTGTTGTACGGTAGATAAATGAATCGTATACACGTAAGGTTGTAAAGAACCTAAGCACCAAAGTTAGTTATCCGAATTAGATGGTACCTGATCGTACCCCATATACCGTGCCGGAAAATGCTTAGAATGCAATGTTTTGTTGGCTTGAGATCTTGGCCCTCGGAAAACTTGCTCCAAAAACTGTAGAATTACTTCCGCTATCCGTTGAAATAGCAAAGTAGTCCGAATATGGAAGGAAACTAAACACAGAGCTCCTAATGTTCCTAGTAAAAATCAAATTAAACAAAGAAGGGTGCAATTTATTAAGTCAATTTTGAGCCCACACACCCACGTTTTTTAAATGGAACCAATGTTGCATAAAAAATATCTCATTGTCGTATCCCACAAAAAAATAATTTTAATTAGTTTTGCAACACTAAAAAATATGCCAATAATAATATCCAAGATCAACAATTATAGTAAAACAGCATATGTGTTTGTTTCTGTATTCTTGTTATAATTTGATTGTCAGTTTTTGATGCCGCATTTGAAATAAAAGCACACGCGGGTTCGAAGAAAATCGATGCCGTCGCAAGTGCAATAAATCTGTAGTGCCAAAACACAGAGCCGGGGGTTTGAGACGGGTTCAAACCAAGTATAAATACGTCTTAGAGATCTCGCTTTAGTTCGATCTTTTTTAATATTCGTATCATCAATCAAAACAGCAACAACAACGGTTTAATCAACAATGCAATTCCTCACTTCTGTCGCTACTTTACTTTTAGCCTCCGGTGCTTTCGCTAAGACTATCCTTTTATCCAATGATGATGGTTGGGCTGCTACCAACATCAGAGCTACTTACTACAAATTAAAAGAAGCAGGTCACGATGTTTTCATGGTTGCTCCAGTCTCCCAAAGATCTGGTTTCTGTGGTACCTTCGATCTTCCAGAAACCCCAACTTTAGAAACCAATGGTGGCTTCAACTACCCTGCTGCTGGTGCTCCATCTTGGGGTCACGAAGTTGATGATGACCACA